ACCAGCTTGTTCACCGGTGTAAGCTGCGGCATTGCTTTAAGCACGCCCACATCAGGATCAGTCTAGGTATAAATATTGTATTTAATTATATAATATATATATTTTTTTATAGGTCTTTGGACATCTGATTTGTGCCCAAAGGCAGTGCCAAATATTTGATGGGAAGTAGTGATGAGGACACAATGACAGGTCCCAAATCTGAGCCTACTGACAATCTGGCTTGAAAGCGGCGACGATCACAACCCTCTTCACGCGGCCTGGAAGATCTTTGACCCTTTCCACCCCCAGAACCCCCAAAAACCTCATGCCCAGCCCTTCCTTTGCAAGCCCGCTCCTTGCAGCTTTTGCTGGACGCTTCATCGGTGGCCGCTTAGAAGAAGGCCGCTTCATGGCCATGGCTTACGACCAGACAAATCTTTGCCACCAGCCAAATCTCTTGGGAACGCGGCGGCGGAAATCGCAAGTGCTTCCAACACCTCCCAACACCTCCCAACTCCCATACTCAACCTGTCACATATCTAATTATGCAAAGATCGGAAATCCAAAAGACTAACTTTTCTGAAAGGTCTAACTTTTGCGAAAGTTTGTTATATATATGTTGAACGATATGTTTGTTCATGTTTTTTCTTGAAATATAGATTCCTTTTCCTAAAAGATGCTTCAACTGACGGAGAACTGCTGGCTGAAGCAAACTCAAACTAAGTGCTTCTCGCGGCTTCTTCAAATCGATCGCCTAATCATGTGTTGTTTTTCGCTCGGGGCCATTTTGTTAAATTGATGGTTGCCGTAGCGGGTTAGTTTGCAGTATATACTGGTTGAAATCACTCAATGAGGAGTTTCTAGCAATGTTCGTTCAAGGTGCAGCAAAGTTGCTTTCACCTGTTTGCCCCTTCTGCAGTGACAAAGTTGGGTCCTTGCCTAGCCTCATTACATGTGCGAGTTTTAACAGAGCTGGAATGATGGTGACGAAGCCGCTGAGAACAAGCAAATGAGAGATCATCCTGCCAAGCATTGGATCGTCTATTGCCGACGGTTTGCAGGATCTCCTTGTTCCATGATTTTCCAGTGTCATCCTGGAAGAACACACACACACACATGACACACACACACACACACCACCCAGTGACGAGGCATCAAGTACGGCCTGTTGGTCGGTACCGGTCTTCTCACTGCCTTCATTGGCCTCAAATCCATTGGTGTCGTGACGGCGGGGGAGGACATCGTTGCATTGGGCCACTGGGCCGACCGCGCTGGGGATGGGGGGAAGACGTGTTGGGTTTGTCACAGCAGATCTGGCACCTGGGGTGATAGCACTCTCTTCCTTTGCGCTGGGAACTCTAGGTAGAAGGGTGGCCATGGTAGACCGAGACATGATATCTAGTTCTAGTGGTAGATCCGAGCGACCTGTTGTTCATCAAGATGCGGCTAGCAGCGGCTAGCATGATATGTTAAGCTCTATCTTGTCCAGCGTGCAACTCTAGAGACTCCGGGATCCACATACCCTTAGTCTGCGGTCGGACGGGGGACGCTTTGGACGGTTTCGAGTGATTTGATCAGTTCGACCCAATGCCCTTGCTAATGTCCATTACTAGTAGCTTCTTGTTACTAGTAGTAAGGCCAGGAGCTACTAGTAGCGTCCTTGCTCCTAGTAGCGGTGCCCTTTGCTACTAGTAGCTTCTTGTTACTAGTAGTAATGCACTTGTTACTAGTGCCACGTGCCCAGGTGATTTGAACAGCACAGCCTTTGTGATCTCCGCCGCCTCTTTAGATCCTTGGATTGGCGATGTTCTGTTTGGATCAGGAAAACGGGGGTTAGAGGGCTTTAGTAAACTCCACGAACAGAGGGGCAAGTTTCCAAGAATGAAGATATGTTCACGCGATTTGTTTGACAATTGACTGCAAGTTTAGTAACATTATTGACTTTGCGGGACTCCGAAGATACGAATTACAGTACTAGTACTAGTCCGAATAGCATATAATTGTTCGACCACTCTGAATCGGAGTGTAGAGTTAGTGGGCGACAAGGCGATTCATGGCGATTCTATAGGGTTAATTGACGTGTTTTCTATGCTTTTCCGGGTTAATCTCAAACCCCAATATTCTGGAAATCCTGTACAACTAGACGTTTGACACAAAAACGAGCCTTCAGGAAAGAAATCGCAAGGGGTTTTCTTGGATGAACACTTCTTGTGTTCTTGTGACTGCTTTTTGTGGATTGAAGAAACGTTCAAAAACGTGTCCTCCTTTTCTAGTTTTGCCGCTTCACAGGTCTTCACGGCTTCGCTCCTGTACAATGCGGTCACGGGAGCAGTCTTGCTCGGAAGCCCATCTTTGCTTGGAAGCTTTTCTAGGTCAAACCTTCCCTCTAATCATTAATATGTCGCTTCCACATTTACTTTATTTGGGCATATGAATTACTATTACTATAAATAACCACAGCACCAGATTACCGTGGCAGCAGCAGTTTTTGAAGTAGTAGAAGCAGGAGTAGTAGTAGTAGTAGTAGTAGTTGTTGTAGTAGTAGTAGTTGTTGTTGCTGCGTTGCCCATCCAAGGCATGCTATCTTCCACCCTGATTGCTTGGATCTACTTGGAAACTTGACCAGCGCGATGTCTTTCCAAAGTGCCTGCTGTGGTGGGTCCTTCATGGGAGTTACTCGCAGCCCTTGGGTTTCAAGATGTTTCAAGTCATGTCATAGTTATATGAGGAGATGATTGCTGCCTGGCAACAACCATCTAATTGCTGTAATACAACTACAACTTGAAACCCAAAGAAGGGTGGTTTGCTTTGGTGAGGAGTATATATTATATACTGTATATATTATAGAGATCCTAGAGACGCGGAAGTTAAAACACATTGACGCTGACTGATTGACTTCTGGCAACTGATGTTTTTGTAAATAGGAGGCGTGGAATCAAGCGACAAAACAAGTTTGTTCTTTAAACTCTTTGGATTTAACTAAATACTACCTGCATGGTCTCATATTTTGTGGAGCAAATCCAGCAGCTATGGATGAGTAACACGATCTTTGAACATGGGGCACAAGGTCAAAGTGCTTTCATGGCAGAAGAGCCTCCCCTTGTTGTTCGAAAAGAAACGATGTCCTTGATTTTCACCCACAGACATTAATTACCGCATAAATGTCCCCCTCAGCGAATAGCCTGTGAATCTTTGTAAGCCGGTCGCGTCCCATTCTTTACACTCCAACTTGGACGTGAAAAGACTTGTACCGCAACCTGCGGTGCCTTTGTGGCTGGACCGTCGATGTCAACATAGGTCGTCCACTCATCATCTCAGGATGATTGGCCAACCAAGATCTTCGCACTGCAAGGGCTCAGCTTTTCCATGCCGAACTTCGATGCTCTTAGCCAACAGCAGGCCGACATCGGCAGTTGCTGGTCCCAGGCTTTGGAAGATGGATCATTCACAACAGTATACCGATACCGCCAATACCCTGAGAGTATTCCAAGAAACCATTATATATATATATATACACATTTTTTTGTTCAGTTCTTTTGCAATTCATTTGTGTTTCAACTTTGTGGAACCCTTGTAGCAAAAGAATCACAGGTTGGTCGTAACTTGTTTTGCAATCCGCAAGCTTGGTTATTAAGCGACGACCCATTCTCAGGTGGTTTTCGGTTGTGCACGAGTTTGGGCTTGCCACAGATTCTTTGTAACCTGAACTTGGAGAGTCGTCGGACCTCAAAGTTGAAGACATGTCACCGATGTGATGCCGAGATCAGCACTTCCTGTTTGGTACAATAATACTGATCCTATCCCCGCTGCGATCGTTTCGAGTGATCAAATAATCTTTATAACGACATCTACGCTTTCTTTTTGGTTTGGTGAGTGGGATTGAGACGGCCAGATGGTGTTAGATTTGTTGTGTGTGCCGCCTGAAACGCAAGAGCTTTTTTGAGCTGCACGTGTCAGAAAGCACTCACCTGCCAAAGAAGTGCACGCGAGCAGTGATGTAAGTGCAGTCCTGAGCACCAGGTTCAAAGCAAACGAAGGGAGACCCTCCCTCTCACGAACATGCCTGCAGAGGATAATCTTCCCAGTGGCCATGTCATGTTCCACTTCCATAAGCTAAATATGGTCTCATTTAGTCTCTATGTACACATCCGGTGCACATCATGCTTGAGCATCCCTGCTGGGATGCTTCTCCAGCTGGGAGGCTTTCTCCGAGATCGCGTCCTTGATGCTCATGTTACTCTTCTCCCTCAGTGGGGCCATAATTGGAACCGCCAAGATGGCGGGGCTGCTGCAAGAAGATGGTGGCGTCCGAGGGAGCACCGCAGTCTACATGAGCCTTGGAGCTCAAAAATGGTTGGGGAATCATGGGGAATTCCGCCTCTTGCACATTCGCAACATCCGCGCTGGAAAAACACAAAAACCGATGGCCCCAAAACCTAAGTTACTTAGCCTACATAGCTAAGTACACTTAGCAAGTGAGCTAAGTACACTTGGCTCAGTGTGCTAAGTACACTTAGCTAAGTGTGCTACGTATATATACCTAGCATGTCAGCGCTACGTAACTTCGCAGACTTGGGCTAAGTCGGCCAAATTGGATGCCATCTAGGCTATCGTGCCATCTACATGGGCCGGTCATCCAAGAATCTACTGAATCTACGGTGTTGGGTGTTTTTTTGTCGGAGCAAAGGATGGTTCAATCCGCAGGCACTTAGTGTGACCGTAGCGGAAGTAAAAGAATCATGTTATATATTTGTAATTAACAGCTTTAGGGTGAATGTTCAGCCGGAGCATGAGGTTGCGTAGTAGAGAAAAACGGTGTTTGATATGTGCCTAAAAGGGATTTGTTTTTCAATCGTCGATGCACTTTGATGGTTGACCTTTATCGTACAGCTGCTTCTCGTACACTACATCATTATACTCATTATATCATATTATATATCATTACTGTATATTATATATCAATTAAACAATATATATATAGTTATATATATATATGTACTGTACATACGCATGTACATAGCCAATATCCCCAACACACCCTGACTCGAAGCATGAGCTCGACGCACCAGGTCTATATCATGATAAGAACTAGTAGCCGGTTTGCAGGTCATTTGCCGTTTTTTTGCGCATCGGCAAACTTGGGCCAGTCTTTGTAAGCCTTTCTTGGGACCCGACAAGCGGTGTTCGGGCCTCATTCACCATTCAGGCAAATTTACTTTGGTACTTTATTGTTGGTTCTGATTACAAGTGTAACATGCTACAACTTGTGGTTGCAGCTGGATTGTCGGGGGTTCCTTCATCCAACCTTCGTCCCCAGCAGCCACATCGCACAAAAGCGCACATGTTTCACTGCCTGGGTCCGTGCACATCAGTGACTTTAGGTCCAGTGGACTGGGAACCCTACTGGCAGCCTTCCTTGGCACCTCTCCGATCTTCGTGCCACGAAGGCAATGGGCTTTTGACAGAAAACTCTTTCGAGGAACATCACTTAGTACTGCAGCAGACCATGCAGCGTGAGGACCTCCAAACAAAGACCTCGAAGCAGAGAGATGCCAAGTGGCTTTACAGGACCCTCCCGGGCCATCAGGGACATATCCATCGAAGCTCAGGACATGTGAAAGTGTGTGATAGTAGCTATTCACAAACCCTACACAGAGGACCAAAGGATGACAGTGGAGTTCCGGCGGAGGAGCTTCCACCCCGAAACAAATCGCCCACTCATCATTCACTGGGATTGCTGACCCTTTGTATCCCTTCATCACTTCAAATGGGCAATTTGTAAGACGATAACAGACAACAAAGACACATCATGAACCGTAATAAGATGTAATAAGATGGTGAATAATGAGTGTCATGCTTATGAGTCTATAAGCTATTTATATGTAGTAGTTTGTTTGCAGTCTATTGACATTTTCAGCTTTTCTTGAAGGATCTTGAAGGATTTGCATCATCGATTGTTCATTGATCAATTGGTCAGGCGGAAATCATGATAAGAAGCCAACGGCCTGACAACAAGACCCGGAGCATCCTCTCTAATTGATTGGCACTTTTTGGATCTGGAGCCCTTCTATCATTTTCTATCCCCCGGCCGTGCCCGATCCAACCCCTTCAGACATGTGGGCAGCAAGTTTCCTCCAGGGTCCGGGTCCGCACGAGTTTTGGGACTCATCTACCAAACGAAACAACAAACAGCTCAGGTGAGCATGTCCGCCGCCGCGGGTGTGCGCGATGGAGGAAGGACAGTGTGGGGATTGCCCCACCCCTGGTGGTCGACTGGTTGTTTCTGGTTGGGTTCGATGAAACAGACAGTGACACACGCACACACAGAGTTGTTGTGTTTGCATGACTTGATTTCGACAGCATTCGTGCAGGTTGTGTTGTGTAGGTCTGTCATGCTCGTCAATGTGATATGCATTCTGAGACAAGTGTTTGCTTGGGAATTGCTCAGCCAGGACCGGATTGGTGTCCTTGGTGATTGGTGTCTATTCCCTGCTGACAGCTTTCGTCCTCTCACCACTGGCATCTGCCATTCCCGAATGTACCTGCACAAGAGATGGGTGCTGGGTGTGAGGGGGCGTGGCCGTGGCCTGAAATTTGTCCATGAAAGTTGTTTTGTGGGCGGGAGATGAAGCTGCTACTATTGAACTGACATCCTCTTCCAGCTTTTGACCGCTGCAAATACGATCGCATCGAAGTCCAACAAGTCCCTCTTTCTTTGTTCCTGTTTGGCCATGTACAAAAGGGGAAGGGCCGGCCGATCAAGCAAGTACTAAGGATCAGATGCATTGAATTACTCATTTAAGGATCAGTGAAGGCCAAACATGCAAACATGTGCAAGGTTGACAGCTCCTTCAATGTGTTTTGAGATGAGATGTTCTGAGTACATTTTAATACATTTAAACTATGGCAGTTTCGAAGTTTTGCCACAAATGAAGGCCTGGAATTAGAACACCGACGTCGAAATACAAGTGCTATCAGACACAGCATACCAGTGCTTTCAGACACAGCATGTTTCTTTTGTGGATAATTATGATAATTACATCTCCATCAAGAGTGTTGGTTGCAACGTCTCGCATTGTGGCGGCTCGGATAAAGAAGTGAACAGATGTTGAACGTCACAACACATTTAAACTTAAACGAATACAAAGATGTAAAACTCAAGGCAATTGCAACACCAAGTGCTCCCCCACAGCTCCGTTTTGGGAGGTAGCAAACCTTGCAAACCCCAATACCTGAGGGAGCGGTTGTTTTTTGTTGATATGTGTCATTTTCTTTCTTGTTCTGTTGGTGTTCCTGTGCACTGGCAAGGCTTCAGGTTTGGAGTTGTAGGACTAGTTATATAGGCGGCCTCCCTATATCTTTGTTTTATGACCCTGGAATTCACATTAAACACCGATTCCGGTGTGCATGATGGCAGCCACGCCTCATTCTGATGCACAAGCAGAAAGATCAGTTTCATCTTGAAACAACCTCATGGCCCCAGTTTAATCTGCAGAAGACGCGGCTGTGCTGAGGTGCAATTGCACCCGTGCTAGTGCTGGTGGGTGTTTCGATGACTGGGGAGGCAAGGGAGATCCAATGGTGGAACATGCTGGATGCACTACCAGCCTTTCTCTGCGCCTGGACTGCACTGGTATGACCAGTATCATAGTCATCTCTTTACTTCCACGTTCAATATGTGTAGTCCTATGCCTATACCCTAATGGTCCCCGTAGACGGGACTAGTAGGCGAGAGAGCATAGGAGCATAGGTAAAGAACATCAAATAGCTGCATTGATTCTGACTGTAGTTTGGCTGTAAACATAGTGGACATGGCATGTCGTAAAGACAGACAAAGCAGGCGTACTGATGCCCTACAAACTTGGATGTTACTCACGTTTCCCACACATCTCGAGATCTCCTGGTTGCTCAACCAACATCTCACCCTCTCCCCCAACATTAAGTATCCTTGTGGAGAAGTTTGTTTGACCAACTGTCTTCAAGCTCCGCCCCAGGGTTGATGCCTTTCTCAGATGAGAGATGGTCCACAAGGAAGTGTCGTTTTGTTTCTGTCCTCCACTTCACAGTGCTTCTCCCCAATCAGCAAAGCCAAGGCGAGGATTCCCTAGGTCCTATGACCATGTTTGCCCACTCAAACAAAAGGAGCCAACCGGGGCAATTGCATGGAGTTGAGCGGTTGGAGCTTCGAGGTGCAGTCTTCCAGCCCTTCACGTATAGCGTCTCCAATGGGATCTACGCAGGTGTCGCCGCTCGGATCCCATCGAGCGGACGTTGTTCAATCGGATCCAGGATTGTAAGCGTGGACTTGCCTCAGTCAGCCTACCATGGAAACGGAGCTAGTTGGAGCCCTAATCATTTTAAGATGTTGTTTTATATGGGAACAGAACACCGCCTGGCCTTGTCTTTAGAGTCCCAGCCCGCTTTGGTGCATCATGAACCAGACGCCTGCGTTTCTCCAATGATCTCCGCAGGATATCAGTATGATATCAATGATCCCCATTGGTACTAGGTGAGTTCAGCCCAAACGGAAATGTTGCACCAAGACTTTGTTTTTTTTGTTTCCCAGGTAGCTGCAAGCTATAGGGGTTCTTACTTCTCAATGGTGTGGCTCTGGCTCGGCGTTTCGCTTTGCCCGCGCTGGTGCTGGTCCTAGTGCTGGATCGGCGTTTTCTGGGCGTGCTGGTGCAGGTGCTGGTGTGGGTGCTGGTGAGGGTGCTAGTGCTTGCACCGCTCATTGACAACGAAAGCTATTAGACATTGGGATTCTTTTTCCCTCAGGCACTATGAGCTTTTTCCCTATGCACCCACTATCTGGGGTCTATGTCAGTGTAATTTTGTTCACAGTGCCCAACTGGCCAGCTGGAATTTAGCCCAGCGGCCTGGGACCTCTCAAACAATGATTAGGTCTAAGATCAACATGATCAACTCGGAGTGCGGCTCTGTCCTCGAATCATTTAAGCTTGATGCGCCTTTTTGCACATGTATGTTCACTTTTGGCCTTTGCCGAGGCCATGTCCTTCATCCTCTTCTTTACAACTGGAAGTTTCCTGGCGTACATTCCCTCCTTCCAGAAGACAGACCCTTGGCAGAAACAGGGCCCTTTTGGTGGGCCACGGAAGCACAGCGACCAGAGGTTTTCGAAGTGACTGAGGTGCAGAGATCAGGAAAAAGACGGATCAATGAACAATCAATGGGGTCACATGGAAACATCCAATTCACTCCAATTGACCTCAACGTACTTCCAGTCCGATGGATGGTTTGCTATGGATGACTCAACACCGTCTTCCAACCACTTTCTGGATGTGGTTGCCATCGCCCAAGGGTAGCTAATGCAAGCAGAAAAAATACGTTTTCAGCAGTCTGGAGTTTGTGCGACCCCGTCAGGTGCAACAGCTTTCAGATTTCTGCACAACATCCTCAAGAGAATGTTTCTTCTGCAGAGGCCTAGATCAAGAGCTACTGTTTCAGTGGGCCCTGATATGCGGTTGTGGGTTTACAAATTTATTATACAAGCTTCAACACGCCCGGGCGCAGAGACTTGACGCTTTCAAAGTCCAAGGGCTTGAGCAATCGGATTTCGTTTCAGGAGCCCCGCGGGCTGGTGGAGGAAGTGAGCGCCATGATCGAACATTCCCCGCAGCAACGATCCTCGGTGGTGAATGTGGCTTAATTTCGGGTACTGTACCCATAGCAATTATGGAAACGCGGTGGTTCTATAATTAGTTGCCATGCCTAAAGTTTCGTGCTTCTTGGACTGAACACATGCACGCACACACACACATATATGTGGTTACATGTGGTACATGTGGTTGCAGATGGTGGTGTTAAGATCCCAATGATCACTGACTATACAAACGGCGTGTCCCGACATGTCGGGTGGGCACTTCAGACCCCCTGCACCTGCACATGAACACGTCAAAGGATGAATGTGTATCATGCATCTCCCTGGAACCCAGTGAGCAACACAGGAACCTGGTGATGAACACAAGACAACAGAAGTTGCATCTCTCACTTGTTTGCAGCAAGAAACTCAAACAATTACCCGCAGTATCAGAGTTCCGTTCTGGATAAACAGCCAAGAGCAACGGTAGAACAAAAACAGTATGTTTTGGAAAGATTGTAACAATGTAATACATTGGTTGATAAGAGACTTCCCTGGTTGTGTTGAAATTACCAAATCTCTCGAGGCGTGCACATTACTTTGGTTAGGCAAATTAGTGTCACTGATGAATCCTGATGGGCATGCATTTGTTGGCCAATGGCGGATTTGGCACTAGGGAACCTCTTGGAACATTTGGTTGTGTATGTTTGCCGTATGTGGCTCTTGCTTCCCAAACTCAGATTGTACATTCTCTTCCAAGGAGAGACATACATACCTTTTACCCCCCACAGACTAACATGAACCCTGAGAATTGGCCCGCGGAAGACCTATTCAAAGTCTTAAGGTTTGACAGCAAACATACTTTTTCCTTTGCACAAGGCAGTCCAAGTGCCTTTGTGCACTCCCCATTTTCTCCGGAATATTGCAGATGTCGCCAAACACTTCGAGCCCGGGCGCAATATGTTTCCATCAAGGTTACTCGAGTCCCAAAGTGGTCCCAGAAGAGGAGGACTCGGATGTTGCACCAGTAAGGCAAGGGCATCTCGGCCGCGACAAAAGCATGTTTGATGGACAGTTTTTACATGCTGTTGTGAATTCAGGTGTCTATTGGAACAGGATGACCCAAGGCCAAGGCCAATGGATTTTAGTCGATCTCTTATCTTCTTTTTGTGAGAGGTCTTTGGGAAGTAGAGAACTTTCCTAAAGTTGAGACTTCTTGTTGGATGTTGCATTTTTCTTTGCTTTGTGGTTTTTGTCATTGAACCCTCCAAACGCCAGTGGCTTGTGTCGTTTCTGATCGTTTCTGATTGATTGCGGCTCTTTGGGGTCTCCTCTCTTGAGACTTGAGACAAATGATTGTCCCCAAACAGTGTGTGCACACTAGGGGTTCTTACGGTGGGTGTTAAGGACGGGTGTCTGATCGGAGGTGCTCATCGGCGTTTGCGACCAATTCGCTGCTATTACAGTACATTCATTCACCTCGGAATCTTCGAAGTGCATTTTGACTGTGCAGGCTCGCAGAATCTGGTGGGCGCAGGCGGGCGCTCTTCAAGACTTTTCGTGGCAAGGGCTGTTCACGAACTGGTGGTGATGGTGGTGGCGATGAAGGTGGTGATGATGGTGGTGGTGATGGTGATGACGGTGGTAAGCTCTCATGCCGGGCTGCCAAAGCTCGGTGGCGCGCCTCCAAGTGCTCCACTGCTCCACAGTGAAGCCATACCAGGCCAGCAATTCTGATGAGCTACACGTGGCAGCTAATGGACAAATTCAGGAGGCTTGTCATTGTGTAGTTCCAGGAAGCCGTCCATCCTTCACCGCAATGGACGTCCTGTACTGACCTGAGTGGTCAACACCAGCGTGATCCAGTCCATCACCGTGTGCGCAAACAAGCACCTCTCTCTGGAGCCCAATGCGTCTAGATCTCTAGACTTTCTGCTTCTACACCCTCTAGACCTCAGACAGGTAAACAGACTGTTTGGGATCTTTTGCCGGGATAGTTTCAGGTGGACAAAGGGAGGCCCACCAGTGGAAACCTTTTGACTAATCTACACGCTGATGCGAGGATAGCAAGTACTTCGTCAGCAAGTGCTGGTGTTTGGTGACTGACCTCTGCACAAAGCCCACCAAGGCTCATTCACCTTGGCCTGTCTGGCAAGCAAGAGGCAGGGCTGAGGACAGCTGGGAAGCGGACGAGAGCAGACGAATGACGTTTGTCGACCAGGTTTAGTGCAGCAGGCATAGGAGAGTATGAAGTTTTCATGTTTTGCCAAGTGGTTTGGGTGTATTATCCCGGTTTTTGATGGTTTTTGACCACTTTTGCTTGATGGGGCCACTCTCCTTGAACAAACAAATAGCATCAAATAACTGCTATAGCTGTTCCATGTAGCCCTGCTTTCCTCAGTTTGACGTGCGACAGGGGATGATGTTTGTTGTTGGTTGGCCAACAAGGATTCCAAATTAAAAGTGGGGGCTGCCAAGCATTTGTGACCCGTCCAAAGTCTCGGGGAAGCACACGGGAGTCCAAGATCCACGTGACCCATGGGCATTGATTAGAGGAACGCTGTTCATGACGGCCATCATCTGAGCATTCACTTTTATTTGGTGTTGACTAACGTAGTCTACGACATGCTTTATGTGTTAGTCCAACAGTATTCTTTGGTGAATGAGATAGGGCCCACACGTGAATGAAATATGTTTTTTTGATGACACTAAAATTGTCTGAACGAGATACTGTGATTTGCTACTAAAACAGTCCGAACAAAGTATAAATTACTGTGACATGACATGACCTGCTACTAAAGCAGTCTAAACGAGACAGGGCCCCCACATAATAGATAGCGTATTTTTTAAGGCAGCAAATAGATGCCGTTCCTCATGCAGAAGAAGTGATTACTGTATAGTTGTATATACGTGAAGATACAAAATGATGCAATGATAGGAGTACCAGTAGTTTTTACCAATCATCTCTTGCAAGTTTTTTCCTTTGGGGATCGTTGGCCTGGCAGGAGCCAAATCACTTTCAGTGAGTCGTTTAATAAGAATGATGCGACAGACATGGGCACGGTTCATGTCAAAACCTTTTGTATGGTTCTCTTGTTGAGGTGGTAAACCGCACAATAGCCTTTTAGGGTTCACCTGAGATACAGAGGTTTGGTCCATGCTTTTGTGTCCCCCACCAAGCTCCCCTTTCAGAGGCACTTCACCTCCTGGCACCTTGGCTGTGCAGCCCAGAAACAAGGTCCAGGGGGCCACATGAGTGGCCACATGATGCCTTTTGATATGTTTCAGGACAGTTGATGGTCGATCCATGTCTATGTTGAAGAGAACACATCTCAACAAATCGTCTTGAACTGTGTGGTTCAAATTCCAAGTTGGTGCATGTTGGTGTTGGGATAAGACTTGGAGGTGCCCCGAGAACCAGAACCCCAGCAGTTGTACAAGTCCCGCAGTCTTCCAGACTTTTGTTACAAGGCTTCCATTACCCATGGACAAATGATGTGGCCAAGGTCAGAGAATGTCATTGGAATGGCATGTAGTAATTTGATGTAATTTGATTTGAGGGGTGACTTCGAAGGTTCAACGCAACGAGAGACAAGCTAATACGTCCATCCACTTCCGATTGAAACATGTCTTGTCATTGTCTTCTTGCAGACAGCGACCTCGGAGGAAAGTGCTGCGGAGATGTTGGGATTGGACTCTAAGAAGATGATGGAGGTCCAATTGTTGCTGAGAGAAGAGTCGGAGTGCGGAGAGAAAAACCATGTACCGTGGGGCATGTTCACCACCGAACACCACTTTTTGAGCCCTTTGGTTCACGATTCTGTTCATTTTGTGTGTGTTTCTCGTTTGGAACGGTCTTTGTTGAAGAATTTGATGATATGTTTGTCTATCCAAGGGCATGGGAGTACTGGCCAAGGGATTGCTGGCTTAAAAGTACATCGCAAGAGTCTACCTGCCTTGGGCGTCCTAGCCAAACGCGATGTCTTCAGGTCTCGAAAGGGAGCATGTTTGGACCAGTGAATGCTCTCGTCCAGTGAAAACAAGGATTTTCTTGCAGTTCATGCGTGTGCGTGAAGAAGGAGCGCCACGCTTTCTGTTGCAGCTCGCTGTTTGTCAGCGCTACATTGCTACATCTCAGGGGCTTGCTGTTGCTTGATTTTTGGTTCGTTCTAACAGACAACCCACAAAGTGTTCCATCAGACACTGTGTTGTCAGGTGGTTCTCGAATGCTTGGACGCTGGCCGGAATGTGGAGTCACATTACATGGGCGGAATCCCAGGCCGGTGCTGCTAGTCATCCGTCGATTGGACATGCAGCATGTCTGCATCCGTCGAAAAAATGGAACCAGTCTGGTCTCCATTTTGGACTCCCCATTGGTCTCCGTGCCAGAAATATGTTTCCTAGTCCGTGCCAGAATTCAGCGCAGTCGGAAATAAGGTTTCATCCATGCAGTATTCAACTGCACACTGCACGCGTCACATATTTAAAACAGAAGGTTGCAGGACTGGTCTGAACGAAACCTACCCAGCTCCATTTTCAAGATGGAACCTCTTAAATCAAACTCAAGGCGCAACTAATTGTAACTACACTGTAAACACCGCACGTGAAGTCTCACAATGCATCCAAGACACCAAGAGGACTTGGCTGAGGCTTGACGTATGATGGAAAGACCCCAACCAACCCGAATCCCAAGTGGAAGCTTCTAATATATGACGCAGTCATCAGAAGCAAACTACCGTACAGCTTGGAAACATGGCTCTTTACGCAAGAAAGGGACCTCAAAAAGGCCCTGCGGATGCAAGTAACATAAACAGAGAGAATACATGAGAATACCAACAAGGGAGTTTATCAAGCCGCGTCAGATATTGCTTTCCCACTAGGCAATGGCCGTTTCAAACTTTTTGGTGAAAGACGCATTGAACTTGCTGGAATCCTCCGATCCTTCAAGGTAGACATCGACCTGTCAGTACCTGTCACCTGTCAAACCAATTACAAAGACGTGTTGGCCGACCTAGACAACAATGGCCTTGTAGATCCAACATCCCTACCTCACTAACCATGGTTTTTTGGGGGGGACCTCCCAAAATGTAAGTTACAATTTTCGGGGGGTCCCCAGCCCAAAAAAAACTGTAAGTTAGGGACCCCCCAGGTATGTACGGTGAACTGTTTGGGAGGGGGTGGGGGGGGCTTAGTAAATGTAACATTGGGACCTCCCACGTGGGTAACTTACATTTTGAGACTTCGGATGTCTACTTAATTATTGCGGGGGGGGGGCAATGAAAAATGTAACTAAGGGGGGATTCATTCAATATTAATCAATTTTATTTCTATTTTATAAGCGGTCTTTGCAGCTAGTGGTGACCCCACCTGGCAAAGCATGCATGAGATACCGCGCCGCGTCGCATCAAATTGAGGATTTTGTCGCAACCAGTGACCACTACGAAGACCCCCTTCCTGTGGTGGTGCGTCTTTTTGCTCTTCTCGATCTCGTCCATGAGTTCAAAGAACAAAGACATTCTTGTCGACAGTGAGAGCCACGTGTGCTTCTCCTGGGAAGGCTACAGAATGTCACAGAGCCCAAAGATCTAGAACGCTTGGAATTACAATGTAAAGGCTGAAACCCAAACAAAAAATGTAAGCTATGAAAGCGGTAGGTGAAACATATTTTGTGAAATACCAGGAAATGGAAGGCAATCTCAGAACGCTGGATACAGCACGGCTGGGTAGTACAACGTAGCCTCATAGCTCAATCGTGAGTGAAAACTAGGACATGCTAGGACTAAGCCATGCAAAAGACCAAGAATGCCTGGAACGTAAAAGTGGAATCCCAAATGAAAAATGTAAGCTATTAAAGGGGCAGGTGAAAAGCATGCTGTGAAACACCATGAAATGCAAAGCAATCTCAAAACGCTGGGTAATGCACGGCTAGCTGCGTAGTAGATCATAGCTTGGTAGCGAGTGAAAGCTAGGACCAAGCAACTCAATAGGCCAAGAATGCCAGGAACGTAACAGTAAAAGTCGAAACCCAAAAGAACAATGCAAGTTATGAAAGGAGAAGTTGAAAAGCATCGCTACGAAATGCCAAGGCAATCAGAAAATGTTGGGTAGTACATCATAGCTTGGTAGTGAGTGAAAGCTAGGGCTAAGCCTGGAACGTAAAAGATCCCAAAAGTTGAGACCCGCATGAAAAAGTAAGCTATTAAAGGGGCAGGTGAAAAGCTTGGTGTAAAGTACCATGAAATGTAAGGTAATCTCAAAACATCTAAAAACGCTGGGTAGTGCATAGCTGCGTAGTAGATCATAGCTTGGTAGCGAGTGAAAGCTAGGACCAAGCAAATCAATAGGCCAAGAATGCCTGGAAGGCAAACGTTGAAACCCAAATGAAAAATGTAAGCTATGGAAGGGGCAGGT